GGAACTGGAGAGGGGACTCAAGAGGGGACTCGAAAGGGGACTCGAGAGGGGACTCGAAAGGGGACTCGAGAGGGGACTCGAGAGGGGACTCGAAAGGGGACTCGAGAGGGGACTCGAGAGGGGACTCGAAAAGGGACTCGAGAGGGGACTCGGGTAGGAACTTGAGAGGGGACTTGAGAGGGAACTTGTGTCGGTCGGTACGCCGAAAGGACACGGGGAGCTGGCGTCGTCTGGGGAGCCAGCAGGAGACGAGGTGCTGGAGTCGGCTGGTATGCCGACAAGACTCGGGGAGCTGGAGTCGGCTGGGGAGCCAGCAGGAGACGAGGTGCTGGAGTCGGCCGGTACGCCGACAAGACTCAGGGAGTTGGTGTTGGCTGAAGAGCCAACAGGAGACGAGGTGCTGGAGTCGGTCGGTACGCCGTCAAGACTCGGGGAGCTGGCGTCGGCTGGGGAGCCAGCAGGAGACGAGGTGCTGGAGTCGGGACCATGACTGCTGGAGCCGGTACTTGAGCCGGAACCATGGCTGGAACTGGGGCCGGAACCATGGCTGCTGGGCCCGGTACTTGAGCCGGAATCATGGCTGGAAATGGGGCCGGAACCATGGCTGTATGGGCCAGCTCTGGTGCAGGGACCACGGTTGTAAGATCCAGTTCTGGAGCCGGAAACATGGCTGTAAGGTCCGGAGCTGAAGCCTGGATCATGGCTGTGTGGGCCGGTTTTGGAGCCGGAAACATGGCTGCTGCGGCCGACACTGGAGCCGGAACCATGGCTGCTGGGGCTCGGGCTGCTAGCCTGGCCTTGCGACGACTCCTCTTAGCAGCCTCCTGAATACTCCGTGGACCTCCATAAGCCTGACGAGTTCCGGAATACGACTCCTGGACAGAAGCAGGAACTGGGACAGAAGCACGGGTTGACTTCAGGCGGAACCCACCAAGGCGTATGGTGCCAGGTTGGGAATTGGGAGACAGGGAGCTAGCATGCCTGGGGCTAGCAGGCCGGGAATCACATGCTTGAAGGAAGTCCAAAATCCAGTCAGGTAAAAACTCAACAAAACATGGTTTCTCTGCTGCCAACCGGAGCGCCTCTACCAGAGCGGCCCTCTTCTGCCGAACATTGGACGCTCCCTTCCACCAATCGAAGCAGCAAGCCAGATAGAAAGTTAAATGCTGTAATTCAACCTCCCATGGATCATCTGCTGGGTCCATTTTGTGGTCGGTTCGTTCTGTCACGGTAGAGCAAAGGAAGCAGGACCCAAATGCAGATTAAACTGATAATACCTTTATTTCAAGGATAATGAAATAGAACTTGGACAGACAGAACACTCACCGGTGAACACAGTCAACAACAAAAGACAAACCGACAAAGACAGACAGAAAAACCATAACTTAAATACACACAAGACTAATCACACAAACAAGACACAGGTGAGGAGGAAGGAGAAAACACAGGGGCCACAGGTGAACACAATTGGGTAATCAGACACACCAGGGAAACTAACGACAGGGAACCACAGACAGATCCAAACAAGACACAACACAACGCAGACAGAAAACCAAAAACAGATCTAGACAAGACAAAACACCACAAAGACAGATCGTGACAATTTGTATGCGGATGATACCGTGATGTACTGTGCAGGTCCCTCCATTCAGGAGGCTGTTTTTAACATTATTCAGACTCAGCTCTCTGAGCTAAAGCTTCTTTTAAATGTTGAGAAAACCAAGGTAATGCTCTTTTCTAAAGCTAAAAAGACACCAGAGCCTGTTTTAGATATTGTAACTACGCAAGGAATAAAACTTGAAGTGGTTACCTGTTACAAATACCTTGGTATCTGGCTTGATGATTGTCTCTCTTTTAAACTTCATGTCAATAACCTGCTTAAAAAGCTGAGGGTTAGGCTAGGTTTCTTCTACAGGAACAAGTCCTGTTTCTCGCTTGAGGCCAGGAAAAGGCTCTGTGACCTTTTGACCTGTGCTGGACTCTGGTGATCTGGTCTATATGAATGCACCTGCCCATTGCCTGGTCAAGTTAGATGCTGCGTATCACAGCGCTCTGTACAGTCACAAACTGTAAAGCATTAACCCATCACTGTACCCTGTATGCAAGGGCTGGTTTGCTTTCACTAACTGTACGGAGGCTCAGTCACTGGTACCTTTTTATATACAAAGCCATGTTAGGGAAACCTCCATCTTATATTTGCTCCCTGATCTCACGGAGAATTGTAAGTGGCTACTGCCTGAGATCGCATGCTGTGGTTTTATTAAATGTGCCAACTGCTAGGACTGTCTTAGGGAAGACAGCTTTTAGATGCGCAGCTCCTCTGTCTTGGAACAGTCTGCAAATTAAATGGAAACTGAACAATCTGGTGCCACTAAATGTTTTTAAAGCTCGGTTGGATGCGACTCAATCGGAAGCTGTTGGTACCTGTTTATGTGGATCATTATGTAAATGATGCTGTATGATGTCCTTTTGTTGTTCTGTTTATGTTTTTATGTTTCATGTGGAACTACTTGAGCAGGTCTCCCTTGAAAAAGAGATCAATGATCTCAATGGGATTTATCTGGATAAATAAAGGTTTGAAATGAAAAAGTGTGTCATGATGTCTGGATTGGCTTTGGGTGGACACAGGGACAGTACATTTGCTGTACCTGATGCAGAGGCACTGACTGCCTGTCTGATCTGCATGATGTTGTCAGTTAAGAAGGAGGCCAAGTCATTGCAGGCCCTGGTGGATAGAAATGCTGAGGCTATCGACACTGGGGGGTTAGTTAGTCTGTCGACGGTAGCAAACAAGGCACGTGAGTTGTTTTTATTTTTGGTAATGATGTCAGAGAAGAAAGACTGTCGTGCCTTTTTTATTTCCTGATTATAGAAACCGAGTTTCTCTTTATATATTTCGAAGTAAACTTGGAGATTTGTTTTTCTCCACCTGCGTTCAGCTTTTCTGCACTCAGTTGTTGCTTTTCTCACAGTCATGAATTTTCTCCATGGAGATTTTTTCTTGCTAGATACTTCCTTTATTTTAAAGGGAGCGATGGCATCTATAACATTTGTTATTTTAGAATTAAAATGATCAACTAGCTCATTTACTGAGAAGTTGGCATGGGCAATTGAGGGAGTAAAAATCTGAGCAAACATTTCCTCTGTATTTTCAGTTAAGTGACGTCTAGTGGTTACCTCTTTCTTAAAAGTTGTATGCACGGTAGAGCTCTCAAAGAAAACACAGGAATGGTCAGAGAGCGCAACATCAGTCACCACAAGCTTAGAGATGTTCAGACCCTTTGATACAATTAAGTCCAGGGTGTGCCCCTTATTGTGCGTCGGACCCTTGACATGCTGAGTCAGTCCATAGTTATCAAGAACACTAAACAGTTCTTTAGCCCCTCTGTCCTCAGGGTTGTCAACATGGATATTAAAATCACCAACAAAGATTAAACGGTCAAAGTCAATACACACTATAGACAACAACTCGGTAAAATCATCAAAAAAGCTTGCACAGTATTGTGCAAGCTTTTGAGAGATTCGGGATTCGAGATTGGGCTTCCAGCAGCTCTGGAGAGAGCTTTGCACCTGTGGCCACTAACGCTCATCATCTCTCTGCTTTGTTTCAAGACCCCGTCAGAAAGCTTTTGAATGGTGCTACTTTCCCAGTTGGTCTGCCTGCTCTTCACGTAGCTCTGCATGTCGTGTGTAGGTGCTTTCTGGAGAGAGGCACTGCTCAACCCACTCCTCCATAGTGAGACCCCCCGGAGGTCCAAGCTAACCTCACATGTTTCCATCTTAAGCTTTGTAAGTTTGTTTCGTAGCGGACTAAATGTAAATATATTTATAAAACGGACAAGTCAAATCAAGCAATCTGATTGGTCTATAGCATTTTTGCCGACCTTTTTTATTACAGATTTGAAAACATTGTTGCTTGCTTTAAAAGTAGCACAATTCATGATGTCAAACCTTGGAAAGTATCTAGATATCCCTGCCCTAATGCCAAAGTAACTGGCAACTGAATATGTGTCGCCATTTGATGTCTATGTCTGGACCGCTGCGTAACAATGAGGGTTTCTGCCCCGTTACTTCTCCGCTGTTTTCTTGTCCCAGTTTGAAAAGCAAACTACAGGCAGTTTGTTTTTCAGCCCAACTGTATACAGTTAAATCGACCGGACTTCTTTCTGCAGATGTGAGCGTCCTTAACAACGGTCAATAAGTCCTTGCTGCACATTATCCCTTACATGTTTCCATTTCAAGCTTTGTTAGTTGGTTGTAGCTTTTCTCAGACGCGGAGGGATACTGACTTGTGAAAAGTAACAATTCTACCCGTGATATACGCTCATTATATCACGGCTAAGAAGATTAGTCAGATTGCTTGATTTGACTTGTCCGTTTTATTTATTCGTCATCTATCCGTCATTATACATGTGTGTTTACACTGCTCCGTCGTCCATTGACTTCCGGTAAAAGTTCCTTCAAAATAAGAGTCCCGATCTTATTGCTATCAAAATAAAAGTGCAAAACGAAAACTTTACCATAGAAAAATATTGGCATACAAATATAATCACTTCTCTAAAAGGTAACTCATTTTAAATATAGTTAGACATATTAAAGGTAATTTACAATACGAATAATAATATTAGTAACATTAATAAGCTTTATATTTGTATATCACCTATTACAACAGTAGCCAAACTGGCTTTACAGCAGTTCAACAGACAGATTAGTATAACATGACAGGATGAAAGCAATGTAGAGGAGCAGCTACATTTCAACACATATATCCACGAAGGTTAATACATGAAGACTTGTGACTCGGACTTGACTCGGACACTCCTTGGGTGACTCGGACTTGGACTCGGACTCGAACAGTGGTGACTCGAGAGTGACTTGGACTCGTGAATTGGTGACTAAGACTACAACACTGCCTGAGGATACATACCTGAGGATATATACAATTTTTACATACATATTTCTTAGAGAGCATGTTTACTGACCTCAGTATCGACCAATAGGAGGAGAAGCAGGTGGTGTTCGAGGTCCGTTCTCGTTTCGGGGTCTTCGCCGGTCCGAAGCTGATCAACATGGCCGCCCTGTGGACGCGCATGGAGACGATGCAGGGACTCAGAGAGTTCTTCAGCTTCACCAACCTGAGGCTGAGGCTGCTGCGCCCGGCACTGGGAGGGACATACGTCCAGAGAGACAACCTGTTGAAGTACTTCTACGCTGTGTCCAACATCGATGTACCTGCCAGGTAACACACACACACACACACTCTCTCTCACACACACACACACACACACACACACACACACACACACACACACACACACACACACACACACACACACACACACACACACACACACACACACACACACACACACACACACACACACACACACACACACACACACACATACACACACACACACACACACACACACACACATTTAAATACTTGATTTGGTTCCACAAATGATATTACATAAGACAGGGAATCAAATATATCGGGGCTAAGCAGCACAGAACACATAGCAACTCCTTCTCCACACGGCTAAGCAGCAGCCTTAAGGGAACACACACACACACTGGGAGGTACTGGTACTTATACGCTGTGTCCAACATCGACGTCAGAGTTCCCGTTAGCCGGTAATTACTGGACTACGACCGGTAAAATATGCTGAAGACCGGCAAATCTAAATCTCTCCGGTCAAAGCGTCCGGTCAAAATATATTTCCCCTTAGCGCAACACCGCATCAGTTGCGCAACTTGCGCCACTTATGTTGAAGAAACACACTCCTCAATGTCAGTTTCGGTACTTTAATGACAAGGATGACGACACCCTGAAACAGAGCAATGCAGCAAGATAAGCTGACAAAGTACTAGATAAGATAAATAGTAAATGGACTGTACTTATATAGCGCTTTATCCAGTCCTTAAGACCCCTCAAAGCGCTTTACATACTACATGTCGTTCACCCATTCACACCCATTCATACAGAGCGGTGTATGTTAGGACATGCACTAACATGCATACACATTCACACACCGTTGGCCATGCCATCGGGAGCAACTCAGGGTTAAGTATCTTGCCCAAGGATACATCGACATGTTGACTGCATGGGCTGGGATCGAACCCACAACCTTCTGGTTGAAAGCCGACCGTACTCCCTCGCAGCCACATGTCACAGTATATGCATGTCATGACCAATACACATATATTCAATTACATAGAGTAAAGACACACCAAACAATAGTGGAAACAATCTTACATGAATGAGTGGATGAACGTCTCAACTCGAGGCGGAGTGAATGAACAATATTTGAACTAAAATGGCCGCTCGGCACTACCGGGTCAGAGCACGGCATATCTGGACAGCGACAGCGAAAGCAGTTTATCGCTGCCCTCTAGTGGCCAGCGATAAACTCTTCATCCCCCAGACCGGAAAACTATGGGCCGGAATAGATTAACGGTCTAAATCCAGCTGCCGGACTCGGGCTCGTAACGTGCAGGCGGCCTCCTCACGCGGCCTGGCCGAATAGGCTGGGGCAGCGTCGGCGGCGACTGCGGCACCGGGAGCGGTGCACCCAGGAAGGCACCCGTAGGAACGGTGAGGTCAGAGGACGCCTCACCAGCAGGTGTCGATGGGGAAGCGCCCATAGCCGAGTCGCGGGGTCCAACAGCCGGCCGCTGAGCAATCCCCTGGGGCGTCGCCCAGCCCGGGTGGATAGGTGGGGGCTGATGGCCCAGAGCAGCGGGCGGCGGCAACGGCGCAGCCGACTGCTCAAGGGCGCAGGGTGTGGCCGGCGTGTAGGCACGGAGGAAACGCCGGTTGCGCAGTGTCAAACGTCCCGAACCGTCAACCCTGACCCAATACTGGTCGTGGCCCAGCGACTCCACCACGATCCCTGACCCGTCCCATTTGTGGGGGCTCGGGCCTTGCTGGTTCTGGAGGAATACCCTTTCGCCGAGTGCCAATGGGTTGAGCGGTCTTGAGTGAGTCCCCAGAGACTCGGTGGTACGGGACATACGGGTCCGAAGGGCGTCCTCCTTCGCCGCCCATGCCTCGCGCCATAGCAGGCGGATATGCGGGTTCGATAACTTCTCGAGGCGGTTCACGAAGGAGAGCGAGCCACAAAGGGGGCGGCCGAAGATGATCTGCGCCGGCGAGAGGTTGCAGTCGTGGTCAGGCGTGTTTTGCAACTACAGCATAGCACGCAGGAAGCGGTCCTGATCAAGGCCGCCCGACGGGCCGGTGTTGGACATCAGGAGGCGCTTAGCAGTCTTAACCGCAACTTCCACCCTCCCATTTGACTGCGGAAAGCTAACGGAAGACACACGGTGTTTGACGTGCCGTAAGCGGAGGAAGTCCTCAGTGTGGCTCGCCTTGAATTCCGGACCACCGTCGCTCCAGAGCTCCTCCGGTACGCCGAAGGTGGCGAAGAACGAACGGAGGTGTTGGACCAGGCCAGCTGAGCCCGCCAGGGCAGTACCCGCCGTAGAGCTCAGGACCTCTACCCAGCCCGAGAGACGGTCCCCGACAACTAGGTAGTGGCGGCCCCCATGGTCGAAGAAGTCAGCAAACACTGCCTCGAATGGCGTGGACGGGGTGAGGACGGCAGGGGATGTGTAGCCGCCTGTGACGGAGCATTGCGGTTGCAGTCTGCACACCCGTCCCTGGTGGCCTGAATGTCCCTGGACATCCCGGGCCAGTAAACTATGGCTCGGGCATGCTGCCCCATCGCTGAGGTCCCCTGGTGAGCGGCATGGAGATGCCGAAGGACTCTCCCACGGAGGGATGGGGGGACCACGACGCGGTCCCGATAGAGCAGGACGCCGTCCTGTGCGTAGACGGACTCACAGACTGATGACAGACTCGCCAGGGCAGGGTCATTTACGTCAATCCCACCCTCCTGCTCGATGAGTTGGAGGAGGTGGCCGAGGCATCAGAATAGTCAATTATAATGTCTAACGCTTAATGTGGAGAAAGAGATGTCCTGGATGGGTTGATTGTGCGTTGATCTGTTGGTAATGCCTCAGGGTTCCGGTGGGCAAGTAAACAAATGCATAATGCTGCGCTATACTTTGCGGCCTCACCCGGTTGCATACAGATGTAGCGCTTCATTTCAGACAGTTTGAAACGCGAGGGCCGTGATTGGTACGTGATCTGCCCTCGCTCAAGGGAAAACCTCCAGCTTGACTTGAGACCTCCCCCGTGATAAATACATGTAATTATAATGAAGCCAGCTGCAATGGATCATTGATCCACCAGGGGGTGCAGTGAGGTTCCACACTGGAGCTCATGTGAAAGAAAGTCAGATTCAGTACGCTGGATGTACAGCGGAACTTTGTTCAGATCCATATGTCACGGATATCATACTCTGTGCTAAATAAGAGACATGTAATCATTTACAAAACATCACCATTTAACAAAATAATGTTGTTTAGTCGAAAAAAACAAACGGGAGGAAATGCAGCTCGGCTCTCGATTTGTAATCCTAATTTAATCATCATCTTCACCACGATCATTTATGTTTATGTTCGCCCAATTGACATGAAATCACTGACACATAATATATACTGTATTCAACTTCATAAAACGTTATTAACGAGCCTAAACTCAGTAATTCACTAAAGATATGTATATTTTAATGGAGCCTCGTCGGCAGATCAGGATCCCAACGCGTAGCGGAGGGATCTTGATCTGCATGAAGGGTGTTATTTTCCCCATAAGGAACAAGTCGCTGCAAATGATCCCGCTTATTACACGGCCACATTCTCAACCAAGTAACGACATGACTCCCAATATTAATTGAAATGCTTTTATGGATTTAGAAAATGTTTTTATTGATTTAAAAAATAGTTGTATGTATTGATTTAAATTGACATGCATCCGCTAAGAAAAATAGTCCGTTGTTACCGGTTTTTAAACAGTCTGAATGAAACGTTAGCTCTCAGCTGTGTGTTTACACAACTAATGGCCCATCAGCCACAGCTCTCTCCCCCCCCCCCCCCCCTGGTCTTTCTTCTCCAGCAGCTAAATTAACTGTAGGTTACTCTGAGTGACAAGCTTACAGTTAGACACAACACTGTCATTGCAAGTGACCCTCAGTTAGCTGACTTTTATGTTCAACTGCTAAATTCGTTACTGATAATAAAGGGCTTCTACTACCTAATTACCTTAACACTAGAACCGCCAGAGGTTTTTGTATAGGCCTACCTAACACCGTCAAATCCCGCTATTAGAATGCAATGTTTAACAACAGGGTGCTACATAACACACTTTCAGGAAAAGTCACGGACTGGGAGACTTTAATATTTTACTGAAAAAAAGTGACATTGCACACACACAACACGCACACAACACACACACACACACACAACACACATCACACACATTGACGTGATTGGCGGTTCTAGTGTTAAATAAACTCACTAATGAATGAAACCAGTTCAATACGCATTATTCTTATCATTCTTTATAAGCGCAGAAATAGTCTTAAAATCAGACCTGTTTTTGAAATGAAATCTGACGGCAGGCAGTTAGCTCTGATCACCTATGATAAATGCGCCACACCTAATCGCTGGCCATTCTGCCACAGAGCTCCCTCTATACAAATCAAACTGTAGACGGTGTGAAAGCACCTATTGTTTTAAATGATGGTCGGAATGTGAGCCTTCTGAATTACCGTGGGAGCACATTCTAAACTAAAGTGTTCAATCAATAAAGTAACATCTTATCTTAATAATATCTTCATATTAATAATAATAATAAATCATACAGTATGTGTCCGAAAGGGAGCAGGAGGAAGCAAACACAAACATATACTGCATATTAAAGCAAACGATTGTAAAGGTAAAAGTATGAGCATAACAAATAAAGAAGTGTAATGTAAACATTATTATTATGATTATTTAATATATAAAGACTATATATTATTGAATTACAAGATTAGATATACTTTATTTGATCTAAAATATTGATGTGTTCAAATGCTCTTCAAAACACAACTGCAAGTCCATGAAACTTGTCTTTCTGTATTTGTGAATGAAGCGCCATCTCCTGGTTAAAACCTGAAATTGAAAATCTGGCAACGCCCTCTTGGAAAATAGTGGGAGGGCTTAACATTCCTCTGGTCTTAGGCAGGTCGTAGGCAGGAAGCTGTAAGCTGGAGTCTGAAATGAGGTGCTACGTCTGTAGCGACACTTATTGTTTAGGTGTCTTTTAATAAGCAGGTAGTCATATATAGAAATGTTTATTGATTGGGATAAACCCCTACACAGTTACACACAGACATCCACACACATACACACACACACACACACACACACACACACACACACACACACACACACACACACACACACACACACACACACACACACACACCCACACCCACACCCACACCCACAAACACACTGACTGCAGCTATACCTACTGACACACTGCTGAACTGAGTGTGTGTGTGTGTGTGTGTGTGTGTGTTGCAGGTGTGTGTGTAACCTGCATGCGTCTCAGTGTGTGTTGCGTGATGCCACGCTGCAGTGTGACTGTGATCACAACACCAGCGGTCAGGACTGTCAGCGTTGCAGCCGAGGGTTCCAGTCCTGGAGGCCGGGGTCCTACCTGCCACTGCCCCGAGGCACCGCCAACCACTGTACGTACCTGAACACACCACGACCTACCTGAACACATCACAATGTACCTGAACACACCACAACCTATCTGAACACACCACGACGTACCTGAACACATCACAATGTACCTGAACACACCACAACCTACCTGAACACACCACGACGTACCTGAACACATCACAATGTACCTGAACACACCACAACCTACCTGAACACACCACGACGTACCTGAACACATCACAATGTACCTGAACACACCACGACCTACCTGAACACACCACGACCTACCTGAACACACCACGACGTACCTGACTTTTAATTGAGCTGCTCATATTCGCACTACAATATGCCATTTAAACATGTAGTGTATACCTGTGGTGTTTATTTTATTATCTTTGCTTTTTAATGCCTGTTGTAAAATGCCATTATATAATGTGTTTGTAATGTATTTATTCCTAAAAAGCATTTTAATTTGTTTAGTAAAGCACTTTGAATTGTCGCGTGCTGAAAAGTGCTATATAAATAAACTTGCCTTGCCTTGCCCTGCCTTGCCCTGAACACACCACAACGTACCTGGATACATTTACTGAAGTTTATTTTTACTGTGTGTTTTTGACAGGTGAAGCATCACAAACTGCAGCCAGTAAGTAATGTTTATCTCACCTTTTTACCTGTCTGTCTGCTCACCTGTGTGACATGTTGAATCCCCATCTCCGTACCATCCAGTGTTGCATCATGGGATGAACATCTCTTACAACTTTGTTAGTTACACATTCCCTCTGCTACAGAGCACTGTCACAATCACATTAAAACAGAAAGAAGAGCAAAATGAGTTGGTTAGTTAGTCAGTCAGTTAGTAGTTGGTTAGTCAGTTGGTTAGTTTGTCAGTTAGTTAGTTAGTTAGTTAGTTAGTCAGTTAATTGGTTAGTTAGTTAGTTAGTCAGTCAGTTATTCAGTTGGTTGGTTAGTCAGTTGGTTAGTTAGTTGGTTAGTCAGTCAGTTATTCAGTTGGTTGGTTAGTC